TACTGCAGGGCTGTTGTATTAGATTGCATTGTAATGTCTACTAAGTGTGCGTACACACAATAACCCAGATAAGTGTGAGAAACCTGGGCCAGATGGATCAGATGAACCGGTAAATCGGATGTCGTAACCTGTTTTGTAGCAGCTGGTCTGTAATCAGATTTCTCCTCTACCTTCTACCGCTGCCACAGATACATTACCTGCCTTGATTCTCTGTCATGCATAAATCAGGTCTTACCTAGCCAAGATATCTGCAGGGTTTTTTTTTTCCAGTGCATGTGAATACAAGTTGTTCCTGCTATTTTGTAACCACTTTAGTGATTTCACTGTAAATACTAAGGCTGCCAATTTTCTGATTGTTCATTGCATATGTGAATAATGTTGTGAGCAACATACAGTAGAGGACTAAAGAAAAACAGCAAAATTATTTAAAATCTCCCTCGAGGAAGCCCTGTTTTCCAGGAATTAATATGACACCAGCTGACTTTATGACTGAGGTTTGAAACTACTGCTTTTTTGGTCGAAAGTAGAGTTTCTTGGTGAGCATTGAAGCAAAGCAAGGTACTTGCTTCTTCCCGATGGCACTCCGGTCATTACTGTTCCCAACACTCCTCATCGACACTCTCCTGTTGACCAGCGTGAGTAATTCTGTGAATTCAAGGGAGTCCCCATAATGCCGAAGCAGCTCACACAGATCCTGGACATACCAGGAACCGTTTATGGTCTCCCGGTGGGAATAGTATCCTTAACAAACAAAACAGGGTGATAGGATAGTTAGTCATGAAACTGCAAAAGGTGAGTCTGGTTTCTATGTAGGTAATGTAATGTAATGGGTAAATCTACCCATCATGCAGACTTTTAAACATCCCGGCCAGCTCACCTTCAGCCACAGAGTAGCACATGATGAAATCAGCACCAGCGGGGAGGGTGTATACGGCGCTGGCGTCCACCACCACCTCATTTGTCTTCAGCTCATTGTCCACAGCATCACAGGCAGTCACTGGATTGTCATGCTTGTCTCCGCGGCATGCCTAGCGAGTGATGGACATAAATAAAAAAAGAACTATGGGTTTCCAAGTAAAGCATTAAAAAACAGATAATACTGCATCAGAATAAGGGAACTTATTCTGATGGATTTGTCTGGGTTCTGTTTGCACGTACCTGTAATACAAAGATCTTTGGTTTTCCCACAAGGCTCTTGCACTTGTCTCCTTTGAACAGCGATGTAATATCCTGAATGCTGATCTTTCCATCGTAGGTGTAAACGTGATCATTCTCACCGTGGCTCAGGAAGACGAGCAGAAAGCAGTCTGCGTCTGAATGGTCTTCTTCTGCGGCTGGTGGGAGATCAGGTATTTGTTAAACTCCCTACTGAACAAGTAAAAATGGCCCGTACCACAGCATATCACGTGTTGGATCTGACAGTTATCTTGCCTCCTCATTATTATTTAGTCATTTGACTAGAGACACAGGACGTGAATCAGAGTTGAGGGGGTGCTGACATGGTTTTTGCACTACAACGGACAGCATACTTAAACATACTTATCATCAAACTGTGCTACAACACAGGGGAGCACACTGAAATCAAGCACAAAAACTACAGGTTTTTGCATGTTGGCAAGAGTTGATCAGTTCCCTGAAATCGTTGACTTCACTTCAACTCTAAATTCTCCAAAACAACTCAATGTGTTGACGAGCGAAAGAAATTCTCCGACCTGCTGCAACTTGCATCACTTTGACTAACACATGCAAATCATTGGATAAAAAACAAAGTAGACCCTCTTTCCCCTTAATGATGCCACTGTACTACACCTGAATATCCCAGTAAAAAGGAGAAAAACATTTATTAACCGACGGCTTTTATTATGTCTTATTTTAGGGGGTGCTGCAGCTCCCTCAATACCCCAACCTCCTGCGTCCATGCATGTTAATGTGTCATACGTGATCATGCGTGTGCTTACCTTCACTGATTTTGTCTAAGACGTCCACCTGTTTGTAGTTATCATAAGCCTTCACTTCGAAGTTTAGCTCTTTCAGTCTAAAAGAGAAAGAGTTACAGTCACTAAACAAGTACAGACAAGTTCTTAATCACACAGTTACAGATTTCCGTCTCTGGTAGCTGGCTGGGACGTGATACCTTCTCTCCAAGTTGTAACGGTCAGCATTGGTTCCATGCCTGTCACCCAAACCCATGCGCCAGAAGAAACGCTCCTGGTTAAAGATGAGTGCAAGGCCTCGTCGCTTGTTGTCCATCTTGTACTCCTCTGCAGGATCCAAACCCAAAGAGCTGTTTCATAATGGAAAAGAACACACAAAGACAATATTTTCGGGAGGATAGTGGACCAGAGACTTGTGAGAATTTCCAGCTGATCGAACCGCACAAACAAGAAGAAACAGTTTACCTTCTGATGAAGGCATCAGTCTCTGTTAGGTTCTCCATGCATGCTATAGAAAACAACACACGCATGAATAAACCGCGCAACGATGTAGAATACAATTACTAAACAATAATGCACATGACTTTACAGCCACTTTAAATATCACAAATACTCTATAATATGTGATTGAAGTTGCCAGAAATACACAGGAGGATTGAGCTTGTCAGGCTTTTGCTTCTTTGTTAAGCAGCACAACTACAGGTGCATGAATTGCTCCACTGCTGCTGGAGCGGGGGTCAAGCAGCCATTGTCCTATCAGCTCAGAGTTCTCGTAGCTTTCAATAGCTGAGTGACAGGTGGAGAAAGATGGCAAAGGCTGCTAAAAGAACAGGGGCCAAATTTGACACCTCCATACCCCACCCTACAGATGTGTGTTAAAGGCAGCCGCTCAGGGCGTCGACATGTCTTTGCACTCGTTTTACCTTGGTGATCCTAATAAACATGCAATTAATACTGGATCAAGATTAAACTCTTTAGCCAGCTGGGCTGTCTCATCTTTGATGCTTTTATTAGTTTTTATTCCCCCCATAAAAGCACTTATATAGGTTCCTGCTGATCACTTTCTAAATGACAACGGAAGACAGAGAATATGGAAAAATCACATCCTGCCTAAGTCATAATCATAATCACTTTTAGTTGATGATTAATCTCATATTTGAACTGGCTGCACTTTGGCTTTTTGGTACCAATGCCAACTATGTTTCACTTTTGCTTTAATGAGGGCAAACCTCTTACCTAGCCTATTTGAAAATGAACCTGAAACTTCAACAGCACACACACTTCAAACAGCATATGTAAGTCAGTGTAAAGCACTCACCCGCCCTGTCTGTGTCTGTCCTGCTGTCTTTAGCAACACTTCCTGGGAAGGCGAGAGAAAGAGCAATGAAGTCCTAGCATTGATAACAGTTTAATGACATTAAAAACATCCCTCACGTTGTACTAACTTGGTGGCTGACTGAAGAGAAAGAAGACTTACAGTAAAGGAGTTACAGCCTTTGTGTAAGAACATAGTAGTAAACAGCTTCACTGATGATACTGAACTTACATGGGAAATTAAACGTCTTTCCATTTATCTTTTTAACATGAAACGCCGTACGCAGGCGTCCACAACATATGTCTACTAAAAATTAAAAACATTACTAAACAATAAAAGTTGTTACCTCCACATCTGTCAGACATGTTCCCGGTTTATCTCCGACTGCTACTACTGGAAGAAAAATGAATTTCGCTTCGTCAATACAACACTAATATAATAGGGGTTGGCTCCTCCCCCTCGACCTCGATTGGCTGAGTGTGACAATCGGAGAACACGATTGGCTCTCGCGTCTTTCAGTCAAAGGTCATCCACCAGGACTTCCGTGTTTGTCATATTACAACAGCCACTCATAAAGCAGGAGAGTCAATAAATCATGAACAATAAAAGGGAGATTAGGGATGAAAGATCAACAAATATCTTCAGCACTGTAAAACCAGATAAGTTCATTTAACTAAAGAAAAACTGTTGAAACTGACTACATCAAGATTTTTAAGTAAAACACACTCAATTTTGTAGGTTAAAAAAACATTTTTGATCAAGTAACTTTAGTAATTTAAATTTAGAATGAGAATGACTTTTATTTTATATTTTTTTGTACTGTGAAAACAAAATACCTTTAGTTATTAATCAGGAATGTTTCTATAACTTACAAAACTTAGTTAGTGTCACTTAAAATTACTAGTTAAAGCAGCTTAATTAAAAAATTGAGTTTCTGTTGCTTAAAAATCTTAATGTAATCAGTTTCAACAATTTTGTTCAGTTAAATTAACTTATCTGGTTTTACAGTGAGTGGTCACTAGACTGCACTCTGTTAAAAGATGCTGCTTACAGGATACATACGTTTCTACAAAAATGCCACACAGAATTATCAATAAAAGCAAGTTTCTTTATTTTTATGGCAGTTTAACACAGGTTTTCTTTACAGTGTTATCACATTTGAGTTAACCAGTGCATTCACCTGAATATGATATTTTACTATTTGTTTTTACAAATTTCATAAAAGGAAAAATGTTTCAGATGCTGTAGAAACTGACACTGTTATGGAAGGAAGGACAGGCCAGTAATGTTATATTTCACAGTCCATTATTTACTAATCATTTCTTAAAAGTTTCCTATATAAAAATACATTTGGCGCTTTTCTGAGACTTTAGTTTGTTGTGCTGAGTTTAGAAGTAGTTGCTGATTTCAAGAGGAGCTGCCTTGAAAGAAGAGCTCCATTTACACCCAAGTACATATTTATTCATTATTATTGATTACTTGTTATAGAAACATTATTAGTCATATAATATTTGCTTCTAGACACATTTTGTATTTTCAAATGTTCAGCTGTCCCGCTGCTTACTTTTGCTAAAAACCTTTACCTTACTTGTGCTTTACCATTTAGTTGTAATGAATCACTTGGAAGAGTACCAATTGAACAGTGCTAAATTACATATTTTTTTTACACCACAAACACCTTTTAGTAATTTACAAACCCATAAAATAAAGTGTTGGGTGCAACCAAAGCATCCAAAAGCCAGGGAAACCCTGAACACCCTGTTTCCAGTCCATTGCAGGACAAACACATTACACAGTATTAACAAAATATAAATATTTAATTGCATGAGAAAGATACTATTCATCCACTCTAAAAACTAGCTATTATTACATTCACTTTGTCTAACGGATGTCTGACAAAGAAGCTCTATCCCTGAGAAAATCTACGAGTGTGACAAAAAAAAAAGTTTATTGCTGGCATCCTTCTGTTGTGATCCTGTGGCGATGTCACAGTTCCCTCTTCATTTCATACTGACACACACAAGAATCTCTCTGGCTGTCCAGGTATGGCTTACATCCCAAGTGCATAACGGCGTCAAACAGCAGAGTCACTGCCGACTCACAAGCTGCAAAAAGGGACAGAAAGAACAAGAAGATGAACATGAGAAAATACACAGAGGAAATGTGAGTCCGTTTTAAAAAGAGCGATCATGTTACTGTCACATGACACGTTTTCAAAACTTGACCAAGATCAAAACAATACCGATATTCTAATTTCACTTATACCAGGAGTTTGATTGGGAGACTGATGATTGATTTATATTTCTAGCATTAGATTGTCAGAACCAGGAAAAGAAACAACAAAAACCCAAAGGATGACATGTTAAAGTGAAAATACTTATTTCCAACATGGTCCCAAGATGTTAAAAGACAAAAGAAAACACAAATAAACACAAGACATTCAATGTAAAGCTTAATGTTGTGGTTAAGAGTCAGGACTGAAGAATAGCGTGACACTGAAGCGGATATCCAGATTTAGTATTTAAAAATCAGCTCTATCTTGCCCTCTGCTGGTCTTACTGTGTTTTACAACAGTTTCTACTCATAAAATAAACAACAGTTGCCCCCCGGACCTTAAAACTGAAGCAGCTCAATGGAATTCAGCCATCATATTCATATTATTTACACCTGCGTTTTTCCTATTGTGACGTGTCAAAATGTTTAAGATTTTTCCATTATTTTAGATTTCGTTGATAAATGCTAATTGTTCTCCAAACCCACATAGTACTTTTCTTTTGATTCTTTCCGTATGCAATGCTTCTTAAATTCACTGCCAAACAGAGCTCGACTCCGAGTATGATGATCTACAAAAATCATGACCTGATTCTGGTACCCGACCTCATCCTGTATCTACTTTGAACACATTGGCTCAACTTCTTACCTTTGACACTGTGGGCCAATCCCAGAGTCCTTTGCACATTCCTGCAAATGGTCTCGAGACAGTCCTGGAACTGCTCATCACAGTCGTGCTTCTCACGGCCGCATGTGTCATAACAGCGGTCATGCTGGTTACAACATTTAGTCATCGACGGGATGCCTATGTCAAACTGGAAAAAAAAAAAAAAAAAAACAGGTTTGTCACTCTTTGTAAGGTATTTTGGAATGACATTCACATCATACTGCCTCTAGGAGACAGGAGTTTCCCCGAAATGCAAAAGATGTGACAGTGGTTTAGTGAAATAATAAAATAATAAAATCGGAAAAAAAGGTTTAAGCAATGACAAAAAGAACAACACTTGTTTTACAACTAAATATATATACCTATGATACTGTAAATGAAACATAACTCAATCACATGTGAATGAAATGCGTTTAGTATTACGTATCTTTTAGTATGGTTTATCAAAGCCCAACTGATACTGGACACTCAAAAGGGTAATGTTGGTATTTTTCAACCTGGACCTTACTTTTCCATATTTTGTGTCAAAGTGAGTAATGGGGACTCGTTTTAAATGTTGTCCAGTACTGACAGAGCGCGCTGCACCCTGCAGCTGCAAAAAAGGCTACAACGTAATCCTGTCAAAATATGTCCATTAAAAGTGCTTGTTTTTGTCCCTGACTGGCTCAGATTGTTACTGTCAGTGTCTGACAACATTATGGAAAGGACACTACGGAAGAATTCAACGTTCTTGGCACAAACATTTTAAAAAATAAGGTCCAGGTTGAAATATACTGAAGTTATCCTTGAAGCCCAATACCAATATCAATATCTGAGTAACAAAATTTGGTAACAACACATTGGCTGATATTCTTTTTCTTTTATGTTAACACGTAGCATAAAAGAGCATAAATGTGGTTATAATGAATTGTGCCCAAAATACACACAAAGTGGTACATCTGTATGGACACAGTCTATGGAATTGTGACAATGTTAGTAAATTACCTTAAAACCTATATTTGGCATGTCTGTACTGCAATTTCTTGTTACTTATGCGTCAACATACATGCAGATACCAATATATCTCTTCAATGAGACGATTTATTGTCTAAGCTCTATTTTTTCTCCTTTTTTTATGTGGACTCAACATGTTTTCCTCTCAATTTAAAAGTAAAAACCAACAAGAACCTCCACATCTCTAGAGCCCACCCTATTCTCCTATAGGTGATTCACATCCTTTTCATTCTCATCAAACCATTAAATGACCCCTGGTGTCCTGTATGAAAGCATCTGCATTTGTAATGTTTCTCCACTCACTCATTTGGGGTTTGGAATTTAAAAAAAAATCTATTCTTTAAACTATAAACGAAAACCTCCAAACTCTGACGGACTACCTGAAATCCAAAGAGCGGGGAGCCACATCCGTTGGGTGGTGGCTGCTTGTACCCCGGACGAGGCACCGGCTTGTAACCTGTGAGAGAGGAGCAAAGGTGAAGAGGTTTCTTGTTCTGCCAGTCAGTTATCTTGCAGTCAGAGATAACCACATCAGTACAGACCATTTAATGGCTTACTGTGCCACTCAAGGGGCGATAATGTATATCTTCTGTCTGTATACCTTAAGTGTTGCATAAACTCAGCATTCACTAATGTCGTCTTGTCCTCTACTATCTATCTGTGGTGTGACTTGACATTGCAAATCAAAGCCAAGGTGTGAATAAAGTCCTCCAGCATGCATGATACAAGGGCCCAATGAAACACAGCCACCATTAAAGCTATTAGCTACAAATGTGTCAAACTCATTTAGTGGTTCACTTTGAGGAAAGCTCCTGAAAGAAGACAGACAGCTCACCATCACTGCACCTGTAATGACACAGCCCGTCATCGCCACCGAACAGGTCCAGGGCTGCATTCAGGTATGTGTCAATCTTGTGTATTCCGTTGCGGATAGTCTTCAAAGTCATCCTCCAGTCCGGAGTCTCTGGCTCATGTTTGCAGGCAGACGCGGATGGGAGACCTCCACAAGAGCACAAAGCCAACAGGAAAGCCCAGATGTAGCTGTTGCAGTGCATAGTCCAACTTACCGTCGGAGCCAGAGACCAGCGGTTCCCGGCGGCTTGGTTTGATTTAGGTTTAAGTTATTCCTCAAAGTGTTGTCTTGATGGCATCTCAGGTTTCACTTCTGTCTGTTTTCATTTCACGAGCCTTCTTGCCGATGCTGTTTATATCGTTTCCGGGTCTGGCGCCGTCACGTGACCGCCGACAAACCAGTGGAGGTGATGTCATAAATTGCAGCGCGTCAGTATTCTAGTCTGTGGTGATTGAATCTTGAATGTGAGTCATTTCAGTTTTGTATGTGCAAAGCTTTTTATTCACACACATACGTTCTCTAAATCTCTTCTAAGATCTTGAATTTCCTCCTAGAACTGAGTTCACTTACATAATATAAGAATCACTTTACTAAACAACAGAAAGAGTACCAAGCTTGTATCTTTTATGTTTTCTATATATGTCCCTTATATGTATTTTGATCTTTATATGATGCTATTGTTTGCCACCTGAAAGTTTGTCCATTATCCTCTTGTCAAAAATGGTTGAAATATGAATTTTAGTGCTATACAAAACGCTGTATTAATGCATTTTAGCAATTAGAACAAATCTGTTTTTGTTGTAGGTCAGAACAGTAAAATTCAGTCATTTATTTAACATTGCTCCACAGCTTACCTCCATTACCCACAGTGCAAGGCAAATGGCGCAGAAGGGAGCCCCATAGAGGATCCTTTATGAGGATCCCTGTTGTGTTGTCTCTACCCAAGTTAGGGCACAAGTAACAATAAAATAACAACCCAATATACATAATAATATAACATTATGAGATGGTACATTCTGTATAATGTACCTTAAATAATTTAACTTTTAAAAATCTTCTGCTTCTGCCTTTAATGGAGTATAGTTTACACTGTAGTGTTTCTACTTTAGAACCTGTAACTTCTTCCCCCAGTGGTGCACACTGTATTTTGGTTCAACTACAACACGTGTATAGAGGGCTGCACTCATCTCTGAAGGCATATATTTCATTTTTGCTCCACAACTCTCTCCAGTGGGTTAATCTGACCATGAAAAGTAAAACATGAATATGCTTTTTCATGGTAAAACCATTCTAAGACCTATCTAAGGTAACATAAGACTTTATTGATCCCACACTGGGGAAATTCACTTGCTACAGCAGCTAACAACAGTTAGGAAAATGCACATAAAAAATAGAATAGAAAAATACAAGACATAATTAAAATAGAAAAAACAGAATAAGAGTTATATGTACACTATATACAGCTTTTTCTATACATATGTGATTGATATGGAACTTTGCACAGGTCACAGCAGGAGGTAGTAGCATGGTGTAAAAATAAATAATTGCACAGGGCAAAAATATTTACAGCAGTATAGTTTAGAGAATATATGCTATAGACAGGGCTACAACCCTGTTGAGTCTTTTTCTGTCCCTCTCTGTGTCGGTAACATGTAGTTTGAATATTGGCTCTGAAAGTGGTTAAATGATACAGTATATATCCTGACATTTCTAAAGGCATTTCACTGCCTGTAAAATGTGCTATAAATCTTCTGCAGCATCATGTGTCTGTATGTATTCTCACTGTTTGTTTAAGCGAACAATCTACAAACATATTTATAGCATAACATATAAACATATTTTTCCATTTTCAAAAGATGAAATTGTTTTTTGGACACAATTGAAGAAAACTTTTGTATTTTTACGCCGCATCCATTGTAGAAGCTTCATACCTGTAGGCGTACTGTTTCCATGGCAGTGGTTGACTGGCATCTCGAGAAACTCCGTTGCTAGGTGACGCAATGTCAACTGACTGAAACGCGTCATAATCGTTTATCTGTTGACCATTGATACAAGACGGTTTACCAACCTTTTTTCAACAAACTCAAATAGAGTTAGTTTTTAACTGTTTACAACAACTTTACATTCACCTGCACTGTATTGGAGTGGCAACAGAAATCTCAGAAATGACAAAACGTGATGAATAAAACTAAAACTGTATGCATGGCTACATCCCATGAGATGTAAAAGAGTAAATGTGTTTATTTGTTTGTAATTTCAGTGAGCTGAAACCTTCAACATCTGAATCAAAGACACAAATACATCCTTATGGTAATAATTTTACTTTATTTAAATGATTCGGCGAGCATTGAAGAAATACTGTGTTTCTTCTATATTTACTTAAATAACTGCATAAACTTCAAACATTCAAAAATGAAAATGTACAACCATTTATGAATAACAGTTTCAATGTCCTTCCATGTTTAGTCCCAACCAACTTCACATTTTGAAGTGCACAACATAAAATGTTCTCTAGTAGCAAAATCACACCTCCCCCTATAATCCATTGTTGGACACACTCACCTCAAAGGTGAGTAGGAAGCTAAAAGACACATTATGTTTTATTATATTTCCATCTTTTGTTCCCGTGTTCTTCTCAAGAAATGGATTTGGGTGGAGGACAGCACCTCCAGATGAACCTACAAAGTCTCCCATCTTATATTAATGTCAAGCAGATGATGCCGGAAGCCGTTTGTTGATCTTAAGACAGTGATTTGCTTGTGCAGATTGCCTCTTGGGGTTCTCACTACTCGAAGCACATGCCTTTACAATCGAAAGTGTCCTTGTCCTTCTTGTTTTCAGGAAAACATGAAAAGCAGAGTAAAAAAAAGAAAAGATCTGGGGCTTTCTACAGTGTATGTAGATTGGTTCATTAAGACGTAACAAGGCGGTTCCTGGGGTCAGGCTGGAGTGAGGAAGGAGAGGAGTTGGCGGGGGGAATATGAGGAGAGGGACATTTTAAAACTTCAACAATAGAGCTAAATTATTTCAGTAAGTTTTTTTTGCTCCTAGTGTAAAGACTCTTTCTTAAAAAAACATGAACATACACATCTATTCATATACATTTACATGATCTAGAAGTGTTCCAACTCATCCGCCCCTGAATAAGTTATTTAGTCTGTCCAGCTCCCTGCAGTTATCCATGGTCATGAGTTCTGCCTTCTTGCGCATTCGGTCGTCCCTGTATACCTTAGCGGCATACAGCAGGTCTGTTTCTGGATGAGATGAATAGAAAAACAATGTTACTGATTTCAGAAGAGTTCAGGAAAAAAGGTGCAAAGCAGAAACTACAATTGAATCCAGTAAGCTAGTTCTGAGAGTGTAATATTACTCACTTGTCTGTCTCTCCTTCCAACAGTTATTTCTGACATTAGATACATAGTCCTCCTCCACATTTTTCTCAATCTGATGCAGCGCGGAGCCCTTGAACTCCGACTTAAAATCTCTAGTGACGTAGTAGTCGACATGCAAGTTTTCTGTCTGCCGTTTTACGGTCTGACCTGTGGACCTGGAAGAGATGGAAGAGGTACAAGCTGTTGAGAAAATGCTGAAAGGTATTTTACAGTATCCTTAAAACTCACATTGCAATTGACTGTGAAAAGACTGTCAGTGAATACAAATGTGAAAGAAGATAAAGACAAATACAAACAATGCATGGCACAAGGTTTGCTGAGTAACCAGGATTTGTGGCAACATTTCATAGTACAAAAAGGTAGAAGGTATACAAAATACTTTCGAGACGTCAACCAGCCTCTTTGACAGGTAACCAGTCATAACATGACATGTTGTAATCAGTTCCACAGATCTGAAGTAAATGTGACATACAAAAAGTGCAATTAGCTACCTTGTAGTTGCAAGGAACAAGTTTTCCTCAGCGATGAAAAAAAATGAGTGTGTACGTACGGTCTAGAGTAGAGGCTGTAGGGTGGAGGGGACACCATCATCTGGCTCAGTATTGACACTAAAATCAGGACCACGATGGGCATCAGCTGGATGAACATTGAGAAACCACCCTAGAGACAAAAACAGTACAATGAGTACTTCATTTTCAGCACACGCCTATGTGACAATGTACAGTCAAAGCATGTATTTTCTATAGGTGCAATACATTCAAATTATAATGTACATTATGTGCAAATAAACTGTTAAATAAAAGTTATAAAATCAGAACCCATCCACATACATCTCCCCTTTCTTCTGTTCTCTCTTGTCGGAAATCCGTCTGATGGCTGTAGCTCGTTCTGCTGTTAGTGAAGGTGTGTGTACTTGCTGCAGACAAACATATTGACTGAGGTCAGATACACAGTTATGGAATACGTCACCAGTTACACCTACTCTCAAAGTCAATTATTTAGAACTATTTTCCTGCTGTTTTACATTATGTTTAAGCTAAAAGAGCAGTGGAAGAATTTAGAGACACATTCAGGTGCATTTGAAGTCTTTGTACCACACAATGTCTGTGGACTGAACCCATGAAGGTGATTGTACATAAAGAAACATGTCATTATCTGAGGATCACCAAAAAGCCATGATAAGGTGGTTATGTTTCTCACTTAAACACTCTTAAATTAAAAAAGATCGTTGACTATTAAATTGATGCGAGACGACATGTGACAATATATTTGGACAAAAACACAAATCAAATTTAAGTAGGAAGTGATGAGTGATGTAAACTTATCAGTAGCATTGGAGTTTAACGTGTTGTTAAAAGCCATATGCATACTTACAGGAGGGGAAGCCACCTCCAAAGAACATGTTGAAGAGGTCCTCAGGAGTGATGTCAGCCTCAAAGCCCCTGTGGAAGTCGAAGCCTCCTCCGTGTGAGTGACCCGGGCTGCTCGGCTCCTCCCCTCCTGTCAGGTCATACTGCCGTCTTTTGTCTGGGTTGCTCAGCACTGCATATGCATTACCAATCTCTGAAGGAGGACACAGTTGATCAAAGAGGGGGGAAAAGGCTATGGACATAAACCATTTCAAACTGTTTTTTCTAGGTGTTAAAACCACTTCTGCTTACGTATTCAATCTTTGCATTACATACAGGATTTGTATATCACATGCAATCTACATTTTAAATAGCTTAGGATGGATCATTAAAGAGTCATAATTGAGTTAAATTACTTTTAAAGGCCTCTGTTGCTCCAGGTGCGTGATTTTTGTCTGGATGGAACTTGAGCGCTAGTTTCCTGTAGGCTTTCTTTAGCTCGTCCTCACCGACTTCTTTACTGACACCCAGCACTTCATAGTAGTCCTTACACCGCTTTATTCTGAAAGACAGGGACAGAGTGAAACAGCTGAAAACAATCCAGTGGATTTTGGTCACTGGCTACTTTTAGTGTAAAGTGTT